AATTAGTATACTATAATTAATCTTGTGGAGGGAGGAGAAAAAAGCTACAGAGAAAGGAAGGAAAGGAGGAAGGAAAAGAGAGAGAAAGAGGAGAGGAGAGAAAGATGTTTTTACTTTTCATTTGTATTTTAGGGAATGAATTTTCTAATCACGCACACCATCTTCATTTCTCTATGGCAGCATGCTTTATTGAATCAATCAAGCATATATATCCTGGCTCAGCCTTGTGATCTCTGTGAAGATCACATGTCTCTGTGAAGATTTCTGTTCACTTAACCTATTCATGTTAAAACACTGAAGTAACTAGGAAAAGAAGGAACTTACCTTAACATGATGAAGAATATGAGAAACCCAAGGACAACATCATAACCAAGGGGAAAAAAGCATTTCTTCAAAAATCAGGAATAAGATAAGGATGTGTACTCTCACCACTCTATTCAATATAGTACTTGAAGCACTTAACTTCATTGAGCTTCAGTGGCTTTAGCTATAAAATGGGGATAACATGACATGTGTTACTAGGAGGATTTAATTACATAATGAATGTAAAGTTCTTGGCATTTAAAGTATTTAAATGACAATTATTGTTGTGTTATATCCTTTAATATATGCTTGGTTTATTGATTTTTTTTCTACTTGCTGTGGACTCAATTAGGGCAGTTGTTGAAACTTTTTTTCCCACATCTTCTCCAGCATTTATTATGGTTTGTATTCATCTTTTAAATTTTATTTGTTCTTTTTAGATATACATGAAAATAGGGTATATTTTGACTTATTTATACATACATGGAGTATATCTTATTCTAATTAGGATCCAAGTCTTGTGGTTGTACATGATGTGGAGATTCATTGTGGTCAATTCATACATGTTCAAAGGAAAGTGTGTCAGATTTTGAAAATCTATTGGGTGGCATTCATTGGTGAGGTGACCAGGTTCTAGACCTCAGTGTGAAAACTCAGCCCCTTAACTCCAGAGCTACCAGAGTAGAGGTTCAATTTGTGGTGGATTAAATTACCATTTATGCATGCTTTTAAACAAATATTTACTGAGAACCCAGTAGGTGTTTCTAAAGGATAGGTAAGAATTAGTCTAGAAAAAAGGTACATATAATATTTTCTTATAATTTTTTCAATCTTCCTTGAATCTATAATTGTATCTTCTTTTTAATTCTCAGTATTAAGCCATTATTGTGTGTGTACTCTCCTCATTCTCCATCATGCTTCTTATGGTTTATCTGTTTTATGGGTATTTATAAGTTGTTTTTACTTATGTTTTCACCCTGTTGTTTTTACTAGTGCTATTAGTTCTTTGTGTTTAAACTTTGTTTTGTTTCTCTATAATTTTTTATTTACTTTGTTTTTACATTATTTTAAGTTGAATATTTTATATATTGTATTAATTTTATACTTTTACAAATAAAATCATATTATTTGTAATTATGCATGTATGAATATATCACAATGCATTCCAATTTTATATATATAATATATATTATATACACATAAAATATATAAAATGAACCAGTTAAAAATAAATAAATAAATAGATGGAAGACCAACAGAGTAGAGGAAGATGACCAGGGACAGGAAGGAGAAAGGATAGGAAGGGGAATATTAATGGGGATTGAAATGTAATATACATTTAAGAATATGTCAAAATGAGCCACACTGTTACATAAACTTCAAAACACTAAAAATGCATATTAAATGGCTTTAGCTATATCTCATAGAGTTTGATGAGATATGTCACTATTGTCAGTCTCTGGATAATTTGCAACTTTAATTTTGTTTATCTCTTAGAGCCATACATTATATAGAGGAGTGTTTTTGAAATAGTTAAGGTTTAAAAAAATCATCTTTCTCTATTTAGTTCTAGTATTACTAGATTATGATAATTTACCTAATTGACTTAAACTGTTTCTGAAACATTTGGTGATTTTAAGTTTTGTTTATGAATAAGTGCATGATCATTTTATGTTAATGATTTGGGGATACAGAGATCTTCATTTTTGATAGAATAAAATTTTTTCTCTGTATGTTTTTGAGCATGTTGGTTGTACTATTAAGTTCCCACCTATATCTTTGTTTATAATGACTGTCAATTTCTGAGAAAGCTGTATTATCTCTTACTATTCTTATATTTCTGCCAAGTTCCTTTTGTATTCCCTTTTAAGTTTATACTCTATATATTTGCCAGATTTTTTTAATACAGAAAAGAATATGACTGTTGTAGCACCATCATGAACTTTTTATTTCATGTTTAAATTTTGAAATGTGCTTAATATGATATTAATGGTGCCCATCCCTGGTGTTTTTTTTTTCTTCTTGTATTTACCTAGTATGTATTTGACTAGCTTTCTGTTGTTTTAAAGATTTCATTGTCTCTTTGCTCCAGGTGAACCTCTTATAAATAATGTATTACTGAGCTTTTGTTTTTTAAACTAAAATTAATTATTTAATGGTTTTGCCCTCTAACGGGTAAATTCATTCATTCACACTTAGTATGATACAATTGTTTTATTCCACTTCATACTATGTTTATTATACTTTCCCTTTCCTTACTTTTTCAGTCTTAAACAAATTTATTTTCATTTACTTTGTATTGTGGGATTATACATTTCTTTGTAATTTCCTAATACATATTGCTTCATGTCTAAGAAGTATCATTAGAACCACAATTGCATATTATAATTAAATAATAAACTTATAGCACCTTCATAGAATGTGTTACTTGCCTTTTCCCTACTCATATGCCTCACCTAAAACCCTACATGCAGTGTTGCCGAATTTAGCAAATAAAAATACAATACACTCAACTAAATTTAAGATAAAAACATATTTTAGTATAATTATTCCCATGCAATAATTGAGGTTTACTTATGCTAAACATTATTTACTATTCCTCTAAACTTCAAATATAACTTAGCATTCTGTGTTTTATCTGGAAACTCTACCTTGGTATGGTATAATGTCTCTGCTCTCCAACTCATGAGTTTTGCAGAGATGTGTAGTGTTAAGTTTCAGGGCATTAGTGAACTTTCAATAAGTACTTGTTGAATGGATGAATTTTTAAATAAGCAAATGCTAGCTAACTAAATTTTTGTATTTTCAGGTGAAGTGTATAGATGTTGTTCAAGCTTATATCAACAGAATCAAGGATGTGAACCCAATGATTAATGGAATTGTAAAGTACAGGTGAGCATTTTCACTCAATAATGGAGTCATTCATGATGGTTCTTGTTCTACTTCTGTGGCCATGCTACCTTAACAAGTTTCTTGGACTTGTCTTCCTCTGTGACCTTCCTTTGATTTTTCACTAAAATCTTCTTCTGATTCAGCACTTTCAGACCTTTATTCAGCTTTTATGTTGGCGTTTGCCACTATGCCTCATTCCCTAGCATATAGACTAGATCCTTGATGGCAAGGACTAAATTTCATTAGTTTTTTTTGCATATCCATCATCCAGAACAAGATCTGAAACTAGTTAGACATGATTACATGCTTATTGAATTAATATCTGGTAGTGGTTTTAATAGAAGAAATTCACCCATCACCTCACATACAAACTTTTCAGTGTCAATTTAATATATTAGATATTATTTTCTACTGTATTGTTATACCTGTTTACTTGGCACTAAAACTGACTTTCAGGGAAGTTTAGTGACTAAAATACAGATCCAAGAAATAGTAGACAGAAATATGGACTGTAATTCTGCTAGCTTATAGCTTTCTTTTTTCTAATGGGGATTGAACTCCAAACCTCACATGCTAGACAGGTACTCTAACACTGAGCTACATGTCCAGTTCCTCTACTTTTAGTTGACTAATGAAACACTATCTATCACTGTATTACTATCTTGCTAAACCTGTTCTTCCATGAGTCACACAAACAAGACATCTGGGTGTAACCCTAGACTCCATCTCCTTCCTTCCTTCCTTCCTTCCTTCCTTCCTTCCTTCCTTCCTTCCTTCCTTCCTTCCTTCCTTTCTTCCTTCCTTCCTTCCTTTCTTACTTTCTTTCTTTCTCAAATTTATCTTCTAACTCCAATTACTCAAATTTTGCTGTATCTCATTCATTACTTCATATCATTCTATCCTTCTCTGTTCCTTCATGTCCTAATCTTCTTGCCACTCTTTCACTTCCTCTGACTCATTTTGCTCTCTCTCATCCCCATAACTTTACATATGCTGTTTCTCCTTCTTATAAAACCTTTTATCCCCCTGATGTTAAGGTTTTAGGACTCAGCTTAAGTTTCTGTTTCATTTTATCTAATAATCTCAGCTGGTACATGATGTATACCTCTGAGCTCCCAGAACCCGTTGTGCTCTTTGTGATTCTTGTATCTTTCAGAATCCAGAAATTGTCCTATGTTAACAAAGAAATTAATGAAGGGAATTGTTGAAATAGGTGGTTAAAGATTGGAAAATCCACAAATGTAACAGTGGTGTAATGCAGAGACAATAACTTCAGGAAACAGCTACGTCCCTTGGTCTGATGGAGCATAAGGAGATTGGGATAATCAGAACCTAGAAGCTCAAAGGAAGTTACTTTAGAACTGGGATATCTGTGAAAAGGGTACTGCCTGGCAGTTGCTGATGCATCAGAAACTTAGAGAAAAGTCTTTGCCCAACTGTAGTTAATATTTTCAGGAGCAATTGATATTTCTGAGGGGGTGTGTTAAGATTGGTTCTATAGTGTTGAAAGACATAGGAAGCTAGAACTAACTATTGATGCCTAGAAGAAAATACAGTGTTGTGAGGTACAGCAAGCAAGCTGGAAGGAGAAAATCCCTTCACCTCTTTCTTTCATTCACTCTGTAACACTCTGTATTTGAAGGATCTAACAGGGCACTGAAATGCAAAGGAAAATTTAACTTTCAGAGTTCCATCTTACAGTGAGATATAGAACACCTGGTTTGGAGTTGAGAGACCATTTCAACACTGTATTATCATTGGGTTCTTGTTTGTCTTACCACCAGAATGTGAGCTCCTCAATGATAAGGACCATCTCTTATTTATCTTGGTATCTTCAGTGTTTAACATATGATCTGATATGTAGTATTTATTCAATAGAAGACTAAATAATGTGTCTGTTCTCAGACTGCGTTTTCTTTTGAATCCAAAATGCAGCTTCCTCTTATGCTCTGCTAACCCATTTGCTTTCAAAGACTTCCTCAGTTATGATTTATAGTTAATTATTTCTCTTTCTTGTCTGGAAAGTTACAGATTTGCTACTAATTTTAGGCTTGCATCCTTACATCTGTGCTAATTAATTCATATATACATATATGTGTGTGTGTGTGTGTGTGTGTGTGTGTGTAAACTTTGAATGAAATGGGAAATAGTCAAGGCAAGCCTGCTGTTAGTCCTATAGTTCAAAGATGGCAAGACATAGAAGTACACACTTATAGAGTACTACATAGCTGGGATGGAATTCTTCCTCTGTTTAATTATCATGTGATCTTAGGCATTTTTCTGAACCTCTCTGAATTTTTGTTTCATTCTTTCTAAGTTGAAAATTAACATAGACTCTCAGGCTTATAATTTTCCAAAACAGTTTATAAAAATCCTAATACTTTTTTTTTCCTTTATCCCAAAAATATTTATTGAAACACTGTACTAGGTGTTGGAGGATGCAAAAAAAAACAAAATATAGTCCCTGAGTTCCTTTACATCTCAGTCCAGTGGTTGAAACATAAAGCACTGTGTAATTAGGCATATAATAGGAAAAGAAGAGAGCAGTGTGGAAGCACAGAGAAGGTATATCTGTCCAGTACTGTACAGCTATCAGGGAAGGGTTTCTGGAGGAAATAATGTAAAAACAGGATCCTGATGAGTGAATATGAGTAAACAAGAAGGCAGCACTACACAGGTGAGGGGACTGTATAGCTTTCACCAAAGCCTGGGTCGAGAAACCTATTTGTATTTTTATCCCTTATCTTCTGCTCTATTTAGATTACTGGTTGAAGGTAGGATTTCAGGATATATAGATTTAAGGATTCATGATTGGGATGTCTGGTTTTAGCTTGTCTAAAACTATGGGTGTGTCCTTGGTATCAGGGGTCAAGAACTACCTTTTGGAACTGTGCCCACGTATTAAGTTATCTAGTTCCATTTCTGTTTAAATCAAACTTCTCTTAGCAGTCTTTGATTTTGTTTGATTATATGTGGCTCAGGTTTGAGCAGCATTAATGAAGGTGCATTCAAGACCTTAGTAAAGTGCATATAATTAAGCTATTAGGTCTTCCTCAGCCTTGGGAAGATACAGCTGGGGAGTCTGAATGCTCTGTTCTCACTTGGTTAGAAAACTCTTGATGTTAGAGTGTTCCAAGATCCTGTATTTCTGTCAACAAGGAATCTGTCAGTAAATGGTACTGATAGCATCAATACTAACAGAACATGTTGAAAGAAGTAGCTGTTGCAGTTCCTCTCGTTGTTTTTTTTCTGATACAGGGACTTGTAGCCTACATCCTAAATTTTATGTTGCCAGTTCTATGAGCTCTGTACTTTGGGTAATTTAGCTGTGGATTTATCTGCTATAACACTAATTCTTTTATTTTCCTGACAGGGATATTTTAATTGTCAGAAAAACTTGATGATATTATAAATGATAATGGTAATAGCTACTATTTATTAAATATCTCCTATGTGTTAAATGCTATGTTTTCAGCTTTATTTCATTTTAATAACAGAGCATCTATGTTCTATTGAAACAAGAGTGTTATAGTTGGATAAACTGAACTTTAGGAAGTTGTCAGTTGCAAAGCTGTGTAACAATCCCAGATCAGTCTTTCTCCAAATCCTGGATATGACCATCTGCCTATATTGCCTTTTGAATGGCTACATTATTTGAGTGGGTAGAATATAATATTTTCATATTAATAGCTTGCTGTACTTAACTGGCAGTCTCATTTTTCTACATAAACAAGCTGCTAAAATTTTTAGTCAATATTTACTTTTTCTGAACCCTCACTTTTGTTTTATACCTACATTCACTGAAATCTAGCTTCTATCTCTACAACTAAATTTAAAAATGCCCTATTAATTTTAACACTTTGGATGATTTTCATTGTAAACAGCAACAACAACAACAACAAAAATAACAGCTCAAAATGACTGAAAACTATAAAAAAATATTATTACACAAAATAGGAAATGTTTTGATAGTTTAGCTAAAGGATTGGTTCGTGACATAAAAAATGTCATCAATAGCCTAAGTGTTTAATTTTGTCTTGTACATCCTCACTTGTCAACCTTATTCTCATGTCTCAAGAACAAAAATTGTGATCAGATGTCAATAGGTAGACAATTTCTGGAAAGATGAATAACATCACTGTGATTGTATTAAACAAATACAAAATCATACTCTTTTCAAAAAAATTTTTTTAGTTGTAGATGGATAGAATACCTTTATTTTATTTTATTTATTTTTATGTGGTGTTGAGGATTGAACCCAGTGCCTCACACATGCTAGGCCAGTGCCCTACTACTGAGCTACAACCCCAACCCCCAAAATCATACTCTTAAAGCTAGTGATTGGAGAATTTTCTCTAATGCACATGACAGTGAAAGAAAGGTAAGTGCCTGAAAAATTGAGGTTTTATTAGTACAGGAGAATAGTGGATCTTGGGGTAAGCAACCAACAATGTTTACAACACTTGACATTATGACTTTGCTTTTGCTTTGTGTTTAATTCTTTTTTTTTCATGAATTATAATCATCTATAAAGGTGGGATTCATGGTGACATATTTGTAAGTGCACATAACATTTGATCAGTTTCCTTCCCTAGTACCTCCCATTCTCTGCCCCCTGATCCAATTCCTTTACTCTAATGGTCTCTCTTCTGATTTTTAAATTTGTATATAATAATTATATATAAAATGGTATTCATTGTGATATATTAATGTGAGGACATAGCATAATATGGCCATGCCCTGCCACTATGATGTTTATACCTTGGAGCTAGCCAACCATAGACTGAACCCTTTGAAACCAAAATAAATCTTTTCTCCTAGAAGTTGTACTTATCAGGCGTTTTCATGACCTTGATGGAGCAATGACTTAACATCAGCATATACACTTTGCAGTGATAAATCCTCCATCTTAGGGAAGTTTCAAGAGCACTTTGTATAAAATGTTTTTTTCAAGAGAAATACTGTATTATTAAACAAAGGATGGGTACATTTATCCATTTTTACACATTCTTGTCTTTGCTGCCTTATTGGGAGATGTATTCCAAAAGGATTTTATTGATGGGAATTGTAAATAAAGTTGGAGATCAAACACTAATAATGTATTTAGATGGCAAGATTAAGAGATTATCATAAAAATTACCAAATTGCATGCCTAGAAGTTTCTGCCTAATTCTCATGTTGCTTCTACCTATTCCTACCACACACAAGTTCAAAACTGGCTTGAACTCTTTCAGTGATGGGGAACTCATTGACCTCTATTTCACTCTTGTAGAGTTTGAATGTAGCTGGAATCTCTTTTGCTATGGCTTTGACCCATTGGACTCAGTTACCATGTGGACTAATTCTGTTCACTTTTCTGCATGATAGTCTTTCAGGTATTGTGAAGATAAAAATTGTCAAAAACCCACCTGGGTCTTTTTTAATGTTTTTTATTAGTCCATTATAGTTATACATAATAGTTGAGTTCATTTTGACAAAATCATACATGCATGGAATTTCACTTACTCTGTTTCAGTCCCAGGTGCCCACAACTTTTTCTCTCTAAATCCCTCCTCCTGTTCTCCTTCCTCTACTCTATTGGTCCTCCTTTTACTCATTTATTTATTTATTCTTGACTGGTGCTTTATACACACACACACACACACACACATATATATACATGTATATATTTATACATGCACACAGTGTCATTTTGTTATTCATTACACATTTCCTCCTCTTTTCTGTCCCTCCTTCCTCCCTCTTGATTTCCTTTTTCTTCTCCACTGATCTTCCCAATATCTTTATGATATCTGATGTGCTCCCTTTTTCCTTATTTTTCTGTAGCATCCACATATGAGATAAAACATTCTACCCTTAATTTTCTGAATCTGACTTATTTCACTTAACATGATGTACTCTGGCTCTATTGATTTAACAGCAAATGCCATAATTTCATTCATTTTCATGGCTAAGTAAAACTTTATTATATATGCATATATACATATATATGTGTGTATATCACATTTTATTAATCTATTCATTTATGATGGGCATCAGGACTGATACCATAATTTGGCTATTGTGAATGGTGCTTTTATAAACATTGATGTGGCCATATTACTATTTATGTTGATTTTAGTTCTTTTGGATAAGTACTAAGGAGAGTCATACCTGGGTAATATAGTGGTTCCATTTCTAGGTTTTTGATGAATCTCCATATTACTTTCCTGAGTGGGGTTGTACTAATTTGCAGTCCCACCAAGAATGTTTGAGTGTACCTTTTTCCCCCTCATTCTTGCTGGCATTTATTATTAGTAGTAACCTTGATAATTGCCATTCTGAATGGAGTGAGATGAAATGTCAGTGTGTTTTTGATTTGCATTTCCCTGATGGTTAGAGATGTTAAACTTTTTGTATATTTGATATATTTGTTGGCCATTTGTGTTTCTTGTTTTGGGAATATCTGTTTAGTTCTTTTGCCCATTTTTGATTGAGTTATTTTTTATGTTAAGCTTTTTGAGTTCTTTATATATTCTGAATATTAATCCCATGTCACAGGAGCAGCTGGTAAATATTTTCTCCCATTCTATAGGCTCTGTCTCTTCATTCTCTTAATCATTTTCTTTGCTGTACCAAAGCTTTTTAATTTGATGTTCCAATTATTGATTCTTGGTTTTATTTTTGAGTTTTGGGAGACTTTATAAGGAAGTCAGTGCCTTTGCCAATATGATGGAGTTTTGATTCTATGTTTTATTCTAGCAGTTGCAGTGTCTGGCCTAATTCCTAGGTCTTTGATCCACTTTGATTTGACTTTTGTGCAGGGGGAATTATAGGGACCTAGTTTCATTTTTCTTCATATGGATATCTAATTTTCCTAGCACAATTGTTTAAAAGGCTGTCTTTTCTCCAACATATTTTTGACACCTTAATTTAGTATTGGATGCCTGCATCTATGTGGGTTTGTCTCTGGGTCTTTTATTGTACTCTGTTCATCTTCGTGTCTATTGTAATGACAATCCCATGCTATTTTTGTTACTATAGTTTTGTATGGTAATTTCAGATAAGGTATTGTGATGCCTCCAGCATCACTCTTATTGCTCAGGATTATTGACTATTCTGTGTATTTTATTCTTCCCAGTGAAATTTAGGACTTTTTTGTAGTTATGTGAAGAATATCTTTGGTGTTTTGATGGAGACTGCATTGAATCCGTATATTGCTTTGCATATTGTTTTAGTCAGCTATTTCGCTGCAGTGACTAAAAAATCTGACCAAAACAATTTTAGGGGAGGAAAAGTTTATTTGGAGGCTCATGGTTTCAAAGATCTCAATTCATAGATGGTAGGCTCCATTCCTTGGGGCTCAAGGAGAGGCAGAACAACATGGAAGAAGAGTGTGTCAGAATGAAGAAACTCATATGGTGGTTAGGAAGCACAGAGAGAGAGAGTCTCCACTTGTCACATACAAGTATATACCCCAAAGCCATGCCCCAGTTCTCACCTCCAACAGCTATAACCTCTCACTTCAATTCCACTCAGTTAATCCATATCAGGGGATTAATTCACTGATTGGGCTAAAACTCTCAAAACCCAATTATTTCTCCTCTGAACCTTCTTGCATTGAACTTTTGAGGGACACCTAACATCCAAACCATAATAGTCATTTAAACTATATTAATTTTGCCTATGCAAGAACATGGGGGCTCTTCTCCTAAGATCTTTGATTAATTCCTTCAGTTTTATGTAGTTTTAATTGTATAGATTTTTCATCTCCTTGGTTAGATTTATTACTAAGTATTATTTGAGGCAATTGTGAATGGGATAATTTTCCTGATTTCTTTCTCAGCATATTTGTTAGTGGAGTATAGAAAAACTGTTGATTTATGTATATTGATATTACATCCTGCTGCTTGTCTAAATTTTCTTATCAGCTGTAGAAGTCTTCTGGTAAAATCTTCTGGCATAAGCAAACAGAGAATATTTGACTTATTTTCTTATTTATATACCTTTAATTTTCTTTAAATATTTTACATTCACATGAAATGCTATTTAGACAATTTTTAAATTCCTCTTTTGAAGAGTTAGTAGTTGAAACATTGAGAAGTTCCATTGTAATTACATACTTTGTTGTTCATATTAGTACATACATTCAAATTGTGTTCTTTTGGACATATTGATTTATTATATTTCCTTCTGCTGTGAATTGTATATATTCTAGAAAATTTGTAAAATGCAAGAACTCACCCATAATCTTTGCACCAAAGGAGTTGTTATTCACTTTTAATGTTTTATTTTGCTTATATATATGTACATTTTTCATGTGTTTGAGATTTTGTTAAAAATATCACGCTGTGATCTCTTTTCATTTAAATTCAGTCATATTGCATAATGAGAATTTCCAGAGTAATGAAACTTTCAAGCAACTGTGAAGTTGTCTATAATGGATATCTATCATAATTTGTTTGATGACAGGTTTCTTAATTTTTAATAAAAATAATGTTGTACAAATCAGCTTTGCACAGTGATTCTTGAAAGTATGTTAGATCACTGTTCTTATGATGGATTCTTAAAAGGAGAATCACTGGATTAAATGCTCACTTTGTAAGTCTTTTGGCAAGTATATTAGTTATATTATGTTTATATCTGCTCTTTTAATAAAATTGGGTACTTGTTTAATTTATGTAGTTTGCATTTGTGCTGTTTAATTTCTTACTAGATTTGAGGCAGCCAAAAAGGAGGCTCATGCTGTTGATCAAAGGCTTTCAGAGAAACTGGAAGATGAATCTACCCTGGAAAAGAAATGGCCCTTCCTTGGGGTTCCTTTGACAGTAAAGGAAGCTTTCCAACTACAAGGTATTATCCTTTGTAATTTTTTTTGACTACAAGAGTTAAACTCAGAAGTGGCATACATTTTCTGAACAGATAAAATGAAAATGACAACATCAAAGTGGAGGACTAAAATTTCTCTTCAGTTTTGAAATGAGATAAAATATTCACCAAATTCCAAAGGGAACTGAAATGGGTCATCCTATAATGGTCATCCTTATACCTATATGGCATAAAAGGCCACTGTGTTCAATACTAATTAGGACTCACAGCAGAGTGATGTTCTCCAGTATTATTGTATTGATTATATTGTATTGATTAAATGTAAGACTAATTTATTCTTAAAATCTACTTAGTGTAATATAAATGTTAAAGTGAATATTATCTTTTTTTCAGAATTTTGATCATATATTCATTTATTTTTTAACATGACATTTTTATTGGTTATTTTTAGATCTATGTGACATTAGAATATACTATGACATAATTATAAAAGCATGGATCATAACTAGTACTACTTAATTTCCCAGTATTTCACCATCCTCTCCTTTCCACACCTGGTTCCCTTCCTTTTACTTCACTGTTCTTTGTGTGATTTAGTGATAGGATTTTTAAAATTAATGTCTTGTGGATGTACCATCATGCTTTTAAAAAATATATGGGCCAAAGTAATAAATTATCAGGGGAACTTTGAACTGAATGTAAACAAAATAACAATGTAAAAAAATATGGAATGAGCTAAAAGAGTATATAGAGGTAAATTTATGGCTTTGAGTATATTCGAGAAGAAAAAAATATTTCAAATAGATAAGTTTCCAACTTAGTGAACTATCAAATGAAAAACAAACTTAACCTAGAGTAAGAAGGAAAGAATGAGAAGTTTAGAGTGTAAATCAATGAGATAAAAACACTAAAACAGTAGGTAAAATCAATGAACTAAAATTTTGATTCTTTGGAATGATCAACAATTTTTTTTAAAATTTATATATGACAGCGAATGCATTACAATTCTTATTTACCATATAGAGCACAATTTTTCATATTTCTGGTTGTATACACAGTTATATTCACACCAATTTCTGTTTTTATACATGCACTTTGGATAATAATGATCATCACATTCCACCATCATTACTAACCCCATGCACCCTCCCATCCCCTCCAACCCCTGTGCCCTATTTGGAGTTAGTCCATTCTTCTAATGCTCCCTCCATTATCTTCTCCAACGCTGTCCATTGACCTGCAAATGCCATCATTTTAACCTCTTTTATTGATGACTAATAATGTGTATATATGCCACATATTTTTTTATCCATTCATCTACTGAAGGGCATCTAGGTTGGTTCAAAGGAAGGGCATCTAGGCTGGTTCCTGTCAAAGGAACCCCAAGGAAGGGCCATCTAGGTTGGTTATACAGTTTAGCTATTGTGAATTGTGCTACTATAAATATTGATGTGGATGTATCTCTGAGGTATGCTGTTTTTAAGTCCTTTGGGTATAGACCAAGGAGAGGGATAGCTGGGTCAAATGGTGGTTCCATTCCAAATTTTCCAAGAAATATCCATAGTGCTTTCCATATTGACTGCACCAATTTGCAGTCCCACCAGCAGTGTATGAGTGTACCTTTTCCCCACATCCTCGCCAACACTTGTTTGTCTTCATAATAGCTGCCATTCTGACTGCAGTGAGATGAAATCTTAGAGTGGTTTTGATTTGCATTTCTCTAATTGCTAGTGATGATGAACATTTTTTTTCATATATTTGTTGATTGACTGTATATCATCTTCTGAGAAGTGTCTGTTCAGGTCCTTGGCCCATTTATTGATTGGGTTATTTATTTTCTTGGTGCTTAGCTTTTTGAGTTCTTTATGTACCCTAGAGATTAGTTCTCTATCTGATATATGAGGGGTAAAGATTTGCTCCCAAGATGTAGACTCTCTATTCACCTCACAGATTGTTTCTTTTGCTGACAAGAAACTTTTTAGTTTGAGTCCATTCCATTTATTGATTGTTGATTTTAATTCTTGCACCAAAGGAATCTTATTAAGGAAGTTGGGGCCTAATCCCACATGATGGAGATTAGGGCCTACTTTTTTTTCCTATTAGATGCAGGGTCTCTGGTTTTATTCCTAAGTCCTTGATCCATTTTGAGTTTAGTTTTTTGCACGGAGAGAGATAGGGGTTTAATTTCATTTTGTTGCATATGGATTTCCAGTTTTCCTAGCACCATTTGTTGAAGAGTCTATCTTTTCTCCAATGTATGTTTTTGGCACCATTGTCTAATATAAGATAACTGTAATTATGTGGGGTCTCTGTGTCCTCTACTCTGTACCATTGGTCTACCAGTCTGTTTTGGTGCCAATACCATGCTGTTTTTGTTACTGTTGCTCTGTAGTATAGTTTAAGGTCTGGTATACTGATGTCACCTGCTTCACTCTTCCTGATAAGGACTGCTTTAGCTATTCTGGGTCCCTTATTTTTCCAGATGGATTTCATGACTGCTTTTTCTATTTCTATGAGGAATGGGAATGATCAACAATTCTGACAAACTTCTACTAATGTGATAATAAAAGAGAGAAAAATATATTATAAAATAGGAAGGAAACAGATGGCATGACTATAGTTTCTAAAGCTGTTAAAGCAGTTATAAGATAATATAATGAGAAACTTCATTGCAACAAATTAGACAATTTAAGTGAAATAGTTTTCCAGAAAGACACAAATAAAGATAAATGACTCCAAAGCAAAGGGAAAATATGAGTAGGCTATAGCAAGTAAGGAAATTCATGGTAAATTAACATCTCTACACAGTGAATAACCCAGGCTGTAATGACTTCACTAATGGCTTTGGTCAAATATTTAATTAAGAAATAATACCAATCCAAAATGGCGGGCAAGAAGGAGGCAGCTTTCTATGTTGCTCTGTGACCACAGACTGAAGTAGTGAGAATACTGCTTCACTGCGAACTATATTCCTGCTCCCGTTCAGGAATCACGGTCACCTTGTTCATCTAGGGCTCCAGGCCTCAGCGTCAGAGTAGGTCTCTCAACTACTCACCCATGCAGGACTACCTGGTACCCAAGTGGGACCATTGACAATCAAAAGACATAGACTGGCAGGTTAAATTAAAAAAAAAAAAAAAGACCCAACAATATGCTGCCTTCAAGAGACTCATCTCATAGAAAATGACATCCACAGATTGAAGGTGAAAGGTTGAGAAAAATCATAACACTCATATGGACTGTAGAAGCAACTAGGAGTTTCCAACCTCATAACAAATAAAGTAGACTTCAAGCCAAAGTTAATTAAAAAGGATAATGGTTATTTCATACTGCTTAAAGGAACCATTCATCAACAAGACATAACAAAAATAAATTTATATGCCCTAAACAATGGAGCATCTATGTTCATCAAACAAACCCTTCTCAGATTCAAGAGTCAAATAGACAATACAATAATTCTGGTATATATTAACACACCTCTTTCACCACTGAATAGTTCTTCCATACAAAATCTAAACGAAGAAACTATAGAACTTAATAATACAATCAATAACTTAGACTTAACTGACATATATAGAATATTTCATCCTTCAATGAATTAATACACTTTCTCCTCAGAAGCACATGAATTCTTCTCTTTTTTTGTGAGCAATTTAGTTTATTCAGAGTTCTTTCTTGAATCTTTTTGGTAATTGAAATATATTTTGACAAACTACTCATTGCATGTAGATTTTCACATTTCTTATTTATAAGAAAAATGTGTTTATTTTATTGTCCCTAATATTGATTGTTTGGTTTTTATTTATTTATTTATTTTTATTTTTTTATTTTTTATTGGTTGTTCAAAACATTCTTCTCTAAAATAGATTGTATATTATGCCACAAAGCAACTCTTAGCAAATGTAAAAATGTAGAGATATTACCCTGAATTCTATCAGATCAAAATGGAATAAAATTAGAAATCAATGATAAAATAAAAAATAAAAGCTATTCCAACAATTAGAGACTAAATAATATGCTACTGAATGAATAATGGTTGCGAAAGACATCAAGGAGGAGATTAAAAAATTTTAAAGGTGAATGAGAACACAGATACAACATATCAAAAATCTCTGGGACACTATGAAGGCAGTATGGCGAGGAAACTTCATTGTACAGAGTTCATTCATTAAAAAAGAAAAAGTCAACAAATAAGTGACTACACATTACATCTCAAAGCCCTAGAAAAAGAAGAACAAATCAACACCAAGAGTAGTAGATGGCAGGAAATAATTAAAATCAGAGCTGAAATCAATGAAATTGAAAGAAAAGAAACAATTGAAAAAAGTGACAAAAGAAAATGTTGGTTCTTTGAAAAAATAGATAAAATTGACAAACCCTTAGCCATGCTAAGAAAGAGAAGGAGAGAGAAAACTCAAATGACTAATGTGACCAAAAAGGAAATTTCACAGTAGACACTACAGAAATACAGAACATAATTAGAAATTATTTTGAAACCGTGTATTCCAATAAAATAGACAATATTGAAGTCATTGAAAAATTTCTAGAGTCATATGATTCGCCCAAATTGAAACAGGATGATATATACAATTTAAACAGATCAATTTCAAGCAATGAAATAGAAGACACCATCAGATGCCTACCAACCAAGAAAAGCCCAGGACCAGATGGATATATAGCAGAGTTCTACAAGACCTTTAAAAAAGAACTAATGCCAATACTCTTCAATTTATTTCAGGAAATAGAAAAAAGAGGGAGCACTTCCAAACTCATTCTATGAGACCAATATCAACCTGATTCCAAAACCAGGCAAAGACACATCAAAGAAAGAAAACTTCAGACCAATATCTCTAATGAACATAGATACAAAAATTATCAATAAATTGTGCTGCTATGAACATCGATGTAGCAGTATCCCTGTAGTACGCTCTTTTAAGGTCTTCAGGGAAAAGTCCAAGAAGGGCAATAGCTGGGTCAAATGGTGGTTCCATTCCCAGCTTTCCCAGGAATCTCCATACTGCTTT